ATGTGAAAGTGTAAACATTTCACATATAAAATAAAAGGAAACGGTTGTTTTTGCATTTGAACTTTCTAGTTCCTCATTACATATTGCGTGATTGTTCTGCCAAGTTGTAAATGTATTTAAAGCCATTAAGTCATAAATTTATAAAAATCTATTTAAAAAAACACGAAAATTGTTTTAAATAGGAACTTATTATGAAATAGGTACTTACACTCTATAAAATTAAACTATAAACACGGAGGAGTAAGTACACTATAAATTAAGTCTTCTTAAATCACAATGACAAAATTACTAAATCATATGCCGATTTAGAATTATGTTAATGCTTGAACATAACTGATTGATTGAATTGGCTGATTAACTCCGGAATCATGTCACTTTTATATATTTTACTTGTACCTCTAGAATATTCTACAGAAACTAGGAACGCTCGAGAAAATTCTAGAATTCTATATTTTTAACTTAATTTACTATTAAAATCGGTTAAAAATGACAAAATTAAGAATATTTTAGGCGGTTACATATAAAGGTATGCATAATACAACAATACAATAACTATAGGTACAAATAACTAGATACAAATTTTGCAAAATGTGTAACTGCAGAAAAACTTAGCGAGTATTGTGAAAAAAAAAAACCTTTTTATGAATACGACGAAAAAGGTGGGGCGCTGAGCAAAATCAGGACCGAGTAAAAATTCGAGCTCAGCGCACCCAAATTACATAAAACTGTTAAATTTAATTCAATAGACAAAAATGTATAGCTAGCCACTCGTATGGCTACCCGGCAGCTAGGCAATCGCCACTCGTATGGATACCCGGCAGCTAGGCAATCGCTGTTGCAGACGCTTGCTCAGACGAAATTGTGTTTATTCAACACCCACGGAATCCACCTGTGGTTTATACTGCAACTATGCTGAGCAAGCGTTAGTTACAGTTTCTGAAAGAGCGTGTTATCTAACGTGATCAACAATTTGAAGAAGGCCAGCACGTTCAAGCCCTCGGTCACGATGACTTGTGGCTTCATGCTCGCACAGCTATCGACGGCCCCCAAAGGTTCCGTCTACCCAATTTTACTCACAAGGCTTGGGTCAAGTAGTAGTATCGATTTCAGGCACTTTCCCGTTATTTCTGTCAAATCGACCATGGTGAGATTCGAACCTGAATCTCATGGTCAGAATGCGAACATTCTAACCACTCGGCCACGTAGCCCTGTGTTACGCATTCTACAGATATGAACAGGACACTTCTGAATTGATTAAAATTTAGCATTTTCCTATTCAGACAAATGTCGTGGCTTGAGGACGGTCTAATGAATGCTAATCTCTCAAAATTCTTTCGCGAAAAAATTTCCCTATTTTTTTAATTAGTGGACCAGTTTATTTAAGTAGCCAACCGAGAGTCAATCAACGAAACGAACTTGATAACAGTCGTTCATTAACTAACCACATAAGAAAAGTATGTCTTGAAACTTATTCTTCGAACTTTTAATTTTTTCCTTTCTTCTCTCGAAGAAAATATTCCCATCCGTTATTGGTTTTTCCTGCATCAAAAAATGATAAATAGTTTTGTTATCAATAATCAACAGTGTTTTGTTACTCTCCTCTTTGAGAGATCTATTTCTGTTTCCTGGAACTATAAAAGGACACTACATGCGAACCTTGTATTTTCACTTGAATAAAGCTTTCTTAAAATCTACACCTGCGTAGTTTTGTCATTACAAGTTTGTTTACGAAATTTGCATCGTAAAATTTGATAAGAAAATTGAAAACAATATTCTTAGACGCATTGAATCAGAAATCCGAATAGTTCATTACAAATCAAGATAATGAGTTTCAAAATTTCAGTGTTTGCCATTCTGAAGCTTTACTTCACTAATCCGGCTGGTTTTAGGAAAAGATTTTGAAGCTGACTATTAATTCTATTGATCCGAAGTCTGCAAATAAATAAATAAAGTAAAATAAATAAAATAAAATAAATAAATAGATAAAAATAAATAAATAAATAAATAAATAGCTAAAATAAAATAAAATAAGTAAAATTTACAGGAATAATTCGAGACAACGACTTCAGCTCTGAGTCGAGCAAACGTGCCTCAAATCAGATGATAAAACTGTAAACATGATCAAAATGATTGGCAGGAATTAGTGCAGTTTTATTTGGCTTCCGATTTTTTGACATTTACAAATATTTTGATGATAAAAAAAATGTTTTCTCCTTTTTTCCTTCTTTAGAGAGCTCTCTATTCGCTGTTTTTGTTCTCTGGTTGGTTCAGTAAAAACAAAAAAAATGAATCGATTTTCTTTCTTAATTTCGTTTTTTATTAATGTTCACCAAACACGAGACTCAAAAGCCACTCAAAGTAGAGGGATTGTTTTGTTTGGTTTTACGGCATATCAACTTCAATGGGTTATTTAATGCCGACAAGATTTTTATTGCTGGTAATATTTTTTTTCCAAAAATGTCATCATTTTTTCTTTTAAAATGTATTGCTAGTATTAAAATCTATTTTTACACTTTCATAGTGTTTTGACCCCAGTTTGAGTGTCAACTATTAGCCCATATTGTGGAACCTCACTGGTGCTACCACTCCAGGTCAGGGTGGACCTGGGAACACCAACAATTAAGAGGCCTTGTTTTGGGCGTAGTTTATCGTCTTACCCAGGACGCGGATGTATTTTATCGTCTTACACAGGACGCGGATATAGTTTATCGTCTTACCCAGAACGCGGTTGTAGTTTATCGTTTTACCCAGAATGCGGATGTAGTTTATCGTTTTATCCAGAACGCGGATGTAGTTTATCGTCTTACTTAGGATGATAGACGGATTGATTATTACACTTCATTCTTGTCTCCCAAACTAAGGCTAAATTAGTCGGTTCTCTGATTGGCAGGTGATGTGCTGCTGTTTGTTACAACTGGCTCACCGGAGACGAAAGTGGCCGGAGTCTCCTGTTGGATACAAAGACGGATTAAAACTAACAAGAGACAAGTAAGAAAAGGTTACTTATGTTGACAGATCAGCCGAAAGTTTGCAAGAGGCACGGTCCTTGAACGCACCCCTCACCCGGCACTAAACTTGTCATTCATGCAATACCTGTTATGCGTTTGTTTCGAAAATTATGGTGTCTCGCTCTCACGGTCGAAGCACACACATAGAAACATTTTCTTGACTGAATCTATCTTGCATACTTATAAGTCTACCATTTGCCCTTGCTTTGAATATTGCTGCCACATATCGTCTGAGGCTTCTGCTACATATTTAGAAATCCTTGATAAAATTCAAAAAATAAATCTGCAATATTATTGGTCCTGACCTGTCATCTCGGCTCCAGTCACTTTCCCAACGTCGTATTGTAGTTCCCTGTGCCTTTTCTATAAATATTTTCATGGTAAATGTTCTTATGAGCTTTCCTCTGTGTTATTATTTTATTATCCCCTCACATGGGAAATAATTAGCTCTACATATTGATTTTGGGTATCATGTTGGCTGCAGTAAGAATGCCAAGTAAGAATGTGTATCTGTCTATATTTCTGAGATTAGGTATTGTAACTATTTACATTGTTCGGACTGTTGTCCTCATTTTTATTGCCATATTCACAACGTTCTGAAAATTGCATATAGATTATTCTAGTTCCACGTGTCATGCCTCTTCCGGATGCCTCACTTATCTCCCTTCAACTCAACTCTTCAAGTTTTTATTCACCACTGCTGTAACTCACAACTCTTTGGTTTAAGTCAATTTTATCTACTGGTCCGTCCCTGTGTCCTCAAGGGTTCATGGACCAGTGGATAAAATTGCTCTTTTAGAATGGGTTGTTTTGGTGTAAGAAATACTGTGGTATATTTGAGTCAGTAATGAGTTTTCCTAATTCCTGTTCTTTTATTTTTCTCGGTCCTTTATTATGTTTTACTTTTCTTATATTTTTCTGCACTCAGTAACCCCATTGCGTCTTAGTGTCTTTATTGCCTTGTTTGAGGTGAAGGAATAAAAAAAACAGCGACGTCTTCTACACAGTATATTTGCCTTGTCTTGCTTTCACGTCGTGGTTAAGACTCTTCCTTTATAGCTGCATTTAAACCCCTAAGAATATGTTTGGTAAAGAGACAACAATATGACTAATCTAAAGTTTGCTACTAAACAAAATATAGTGCCGTCAATACTTACTAAGAACTCCTCTACCCTGGTCTTGTGCTAGACTAAACTAAGCTGAACAACAATAACATATTCTTACTATAAATGCTTATTAACGGTACATGATGGGAAAATGAGAGATAAGAAGAGTATGTTGCGCCAGTTTTATAAGTACGGAAAACCTATGTTGAAAAATAATCATTCGAAAATCCGATATTTTGTCGGATTGGGACACTGACTATTGGCGCTGGTAGGTAATGTATAACTGCCCCAGCCACTGAGCAGTGTCCAAATAAGTACAGGAAGGCCCACAATTTTATATTTGTTTACTCCCGAGAGGATGCTTTCCTGCCCACTACATAACTTCTTCAAATATATGGTTAGCCGTTATCTTCCCCACATTTTTTTTAAGCGTTTCACCCCAAGCAAGGCGGGAAGCCACTAGAACGCAAGGGGTTACAGAAGATTTGGAGCAAGATCAGATAGGAGTGATAGAGGAAAGGATGAGGAGAAGGGTAGTGGATAGATCAAGGCAACTGGAGATGTCGATTGACATTACATTTGAATAGCTGGAGATTATAACTCCCAGGGAAACTAGAATAGGGAAGGGAGTTCCACAGGCGAGATGTGCGAGACATGAATCTATTGGAGTAGAAGAGACGGCTACATTTAGTAGTTTCGACAGTGAAAAGGTGAGAGCGGGATGCCAGCCTCGTAGGGCGCTTGAACTCATGAAGTCTGGGAACCAGTGAAAGCAGCTCATCAGAGCAATTACCATGAAAGTATTTGTAAAAAAAGACAAAAAGAGAAGCTGAACATCTTAACTCCTACTCTTGCCGCTCAGAAAACACTTCTTCAATTCTAAGACTTACGACCATATCACGTTGAAACCCCGGTTCCCGTACGATCACCAAAGTTAAGCAACTGGTCGAGACTGGTCAGTATCTAGATGGGTGACCGCTTGCGAATACTAAGTGCTGTAAGCTTGGGTGTGGGGGTGATCTAATTAGATAATAGCTGGGAATTGTTAATCGGAGAGCAGAGTTCCAGTTAGGTTCGATATATTCACTTACGCGCAAATATTCTTGGGGAAGGTATGAATCGGTCTCTTCTGCCCCCCCAGCTATGGGTTAATTAGCAAGACTTGTATCACTAAATCATTATTATCTCAAAAAAAAATAATAAAAAAATAGAAACGGGAAAAAATTCTTACAATCTAAAAAATATTTTCTGGCTTTAAATAACCTGCAATTGGTTGCTAAACCAAAGAAAACAAATCAATCAATCGTCAATTCTAGGGTCAATCGTTATCTATCCGCCATATCCTCATAATCTTCACTTCGTATTTTTCCTCTAACGTTTATATCACACATGCTATTTAGTAAACCTCTACCTTGTCATCTGGGGCGTCAGAATATGCCGACCGCATCTCTGCAGAGAGGTAAGAAAACCCCACCCCACCCCAAAGAGGCGTCTTGTGTAAGACGATAAACTATGTCCGACAACAAGGCCTATGATCAGGAGGTTTTAGGCAGCGTGGAACCACCTCTTAATTGCTGGTATTCCAAGGTCCACCTTGATCCGAGGTGGTAGCATCTGTTAGGCTCCCAGCTATGGGCAAAATTTGAAAATATTAAAAAATCCATTTTATAGTAAAAAAAATAAAAATACTAGCAATACATATTTATATAAAAAAAAAACTTACCAACAATACCTATTTTAGCAAAATGACCAATAATACATTTTATCTGTAGTTGAAGACATACAGTTGTGTTTAAAATATATTTAGTTGAAGTCATAAATTGTGTTAAAATATTTAGATTTCATTAAGTAGGCCATAGGGGATGATGTGCTTTTAAACAAAATCAACTAAGCAACAATATCTATTTATAGTAAAATGACCTAATATATTTTATAGTAGATTACAAGCAATACATATTTATAGCAACATTAAATAACTCATGAAGGTTGATATGTCGCTAAGCAGAATCAACCAACATAATAAAAATACTATAATAATATCTGAAAGAAAAGGTGGTAAGAAGTAAAAACTATAATAATAATTTGGATAGATAACGATTTGGCCCTTGACTTGAAGTGGTTAAGTTTGTAGTGTTTAGGGAAGCGGGTGTATGTTCCACAGAGTGGCAGTTCTCGGGAAAAATAGCTACCCGAGTGCAAATTTCTCTTTATATTTGAAATACAGGGGGAATCAGGATGATTCGACTCTGTGGAAGTAGCATGCTGTTTCCTTGCTGTAAATGTCTGGAAAGAGCGATGAAGTACCGAATGAACTTGCGATGTTAATTATGTAATAAAGATCAGAAAAAGAATAAATAAAACCTTTCTCGAGAGCTGCGAAAATTATGGAACATGGCGGTGATGCTTGAAATCGAAAGAACTGATTTAAAGGCCAACACTTTTCATCCAATGTCGAAGGTGAAGTTGTTGCACGAATTTGTATTAAAAGTAGACCAAAGATATTCTCCAAGAACAGAAAGCAAAAATGGACAGAACGGTTGAGAATATGTGTGAGATAAAATGGCGTCTATGTTGAATAATAAAGATTCTGCTTTGAAGAGAAATAAATTTACTTCATTTTGATACTAGTTTCACTTGTTGGGTGAAGACAGAAATAAACATCATGTCAAACAGCAAATGACAAAAATAAATTGGTTTCTGAGTCGGAGGATTGTGCATTCTTCTGGTTAATTAATTAATGCGCTGAAAATAAAGATTTAACATTTTTTAACCAGCAGGACGCGTTCCCGCCCAAAATAAAAACATGCTTCGTGATCCCTTTCGAGGATATTACAGTCAAAACACAGACATACAGCAACAGACGACAACTGTTCACGACGCTCATCTTAAAAGAAATGCCATTACTAATTCAACCGTCTTCTTCACCAAGCTACGTGACACTTACACTTTTCGCTTCACTTTCTCCTGTTCTTCTCTTTCTCACGCATACATATATTATTTCTTAATCTTAACAAATAACTTAAAACAAAGAAATATCTCATATATATATATATATATATATATATATATATATATATATATATATATATATATATATATCTGAACACCTTTTTATCCTTTTTCTTTGCTGTGGGTTGATTCAAATCTTCAACAAACATATAAAATCAATAACCCACGTAATTTTGAAGAGCAATAAATTTACTTTATTTTGATATCAAATTCATTATTCAATCTGATATGAACTTTTCTAAAGTTGTGTTTTTCTTCATTCTTTTAAGGACCGCAGATATTGCTTATTAATCAACCTTTCTAATTTTGTAGATAAATGAATTTATTTCCTTTTCATATCAATTTCATTTTTATAGCTTGTCGTTTTGGACGTGAGATCTAATAAACGCTCCTTTAAAAAAAAAAAATTTGAACTCTATCGTAAATGAGATAACCCCTCTAAATTTGAACTTGCATGAGTTCCGTTGGACGCCGCTGCACCCAGCCAAGTTTGATAAGGGACAAGACGTACATTGAATATCACAGAGCAATCATTGACCTTTGCGCAACGCTTACTTTCAGAACACATTTTTCTTCACTTGTAATCTATATATAAAATTCTGTGACTTCCGTCAGTCCGCCCGTCAGCCACACCTTCTGAAATTGCCATATATTGACCGATCGAAACCAAATTTTGTGGAGAAGTACAAACAGGTAAGGGGCTACAAAATACAGTTGTTTTAACTGGGGTACTAGCTTAGTACAATAAATTTTCATTTATGCTTTTGAAAAAATTAAAGTTTTATTATTTAACATACAAAATATTCACATAATTTAAAAAATAATTGAATGATTAAAATAACAAATATTTCAGTTTAATAAAAAAACGCAATATTGTTTTTTTGCATATCTTTTCTTTAAGTTCTTATATATACAAGAATCCAGTTTACAGTTCGCCCTTCGTTTGCGAGAACTATAAACAAATCACATGGCCAAACAATTCAAAAACATGGAATTTGGCTGCAGAAAAAATATTTACGCATGGCCAGTTGTATATTGTATGCTCAGGAGTAAGAAATCCTAAGAATTTATTGTTTGCTGGTAAAAAAGAAAAAAGAATGAAATTTTCTTAAAAATATTGTTTACCATGACGTCCTATAAAATTCAATTGAATTAAAGAAATTATTAAACCGCGAAGAAATCGGTTTATTCAAATTTCATCGATTGGTTTACGAAACTGAAAAAAAAAACAAACAAAAAAAAAAAGGAAAAAAAAAGTAGAGTGTGTGAATCTCGACAAAAATGTTAGCGATAACTTCAACAATACTAAATACTGTGAGGATTTCAATATTCGTCAGTATGTTGCAAAAGATTCTAGTTAAGAAAAATTCAAGTGACTTATCTGGTTAGACGACTCAAGAGTTTCGCGTCGAAACGTTGATCTGGCGTTGCCCACGCGTGGACACACACACACACACACACACACACACACACACACACACACACACACACACACACACACAAATAGGCTTGTAACATCGGTTCTCGTAAGATCGCCGAAGTTAAGCAACGTCGAGACTTTTCAATACCTGGATGGGTGACCGATTAGGAATACCAGGTGCTGTGAGCTAGATTGTACTGGTGGTGTAATGGATCAAGAATTGGAAGTCAGAGAGCCGAGTTCTAATTTCGACCGTGCTCGTTATATTGATTTACGTACAAATACCCTTGGGAAAAGTATGATGCCACCTCTTCTCCGCTAGCTATGGGTTAATTAGTAGGATTTCTATCAGTAACGCACACAAACACACATATTTATATAATAATAATAATAAAAATACAAAATGACGAGTATTTTACAGGTTAGCAGAACTTCCGGCTAAAAGCGCTCAGTGGATAATTAGATCTATAATATTCATTGAATTGAAAAAAGTTCAAGTGATTTATCTTGTTAGCCGACCCAAGATTTTCACGTCGAAATGTTCATCAAGGCCAGATGCTTGATAAATTTATTGAAATTATTACCAGATCGCATATTTATAGTTTTTTGGGGCGAATAAACGCTAATTCTAACTTTCAAATTTCAAATATAAAATTCTTAACACATTAGAGTTTCGTTAGAAACGTCACAAGATTTAAATTTAGAACCAGTTAATTTTTTCAACACACACACACACACACATATATATATATACATATATAGGTATATGGCTTTTGAACATAGACCTTTCCCGATTCTCGAAATATATCTGCTCAGTTTCGTATCCTAACATAATCAAAGACAATTTTTAGGAATGGATTTTTCATTTATTAATCCGACGTATTTTAATTTATTGTTTAAATGTTATTTTTAATGGATACCCATATTTGAGTAGACGCTCTGTTTTTTATTTATTTATTAAACTGTCTTCAGGCAGGCAGATGTAAATAAATATGCTGTTTAAAAGATAAATAAAAACAGCCGGTGGCCATGCAGATAACAGCAGAGAAAATAGAACTGGTGAGCCAAATATAAATTCTGAGATAATCGGAATTCACTTCGCACTAATGACCTTAGAAAAGGCAAGAATAGGAATAAATGATGTAGCTGACATTGTAAAACATACTTGATCAAAAAGAATTGTAGGAAAATTGTGCTAATGCATTTTTTTTAAATGAGAGATTGCTTGCCTTAAAAATGAGTTTATAAAATCATAGATTTTACCTGGGTACAATGACACCCCCACTAGCATTGATGATACATGGGAGAAAATCAAAAATTATCCACACTGTTGTCTAAAGATATGTTATGGCAAACATGAGGATAATTTTTTTTTACCATTATATATATATATATATATATATATATATATATATATATATATATATATATATTGCCATTCACAGAGAGACTGTTTCGCTGTATCACAGATCATCAGTGTGGCTAGACCTCCGGTTGCCTCTAGCTAGGATCGAAACCCGAGTGAATTGTCATCAGTCTGGGATTCTACCACTAATATATATATATATATATATATATATATATATATATTTAGAAATCAATTTTTCATTTTTTAATTTGACATATTTTAATTTAGTTGTTATTTGTTTTTAATGTATACGCATATATAAGGTAGATTTTCTGTTTTTATTTATTTAAACAGTATGTTAATTTGCATCTACCCGTGTGCATACTGTTTAATAACTAAATAGAAATAGACCATCTACTGAAATATGAGTAGCCATTACAAATAGTGTTTAAGCAATATATATATATATATATATATATATATATATATATATATATATATATATATATATAACTTTTTTGCAGCTCATCAGTTTGGCTAATAGTAGTTTTTTAGAAAGGACTCAGAGAAGGATGGGGAACAAGCTCAGGGTGTCAGATGTCGATTGACATTAAATTCATGTAGTCTTGAATTTGGGAGGGTGGAGTTATCAGTGTAAATGGCCGGATATAAGAGAGTTTTGGGTTTGGTCTATTTTATATACATTAACACAGGCTCTAATTTAGGACCAGAGAAAATCTCTTATATCCGGTTTTTCTTATATCCGGGTCTCTTATATCCGGGTTAACCGAATGTCTGTATTATTATTTTTATTTTTACGTCACTTCCACATAACTGTTACACCAAAAAATTTTGCACACTGTCCTCAATTGTTGGTTGGTTGGGTTTTACACTATATATATATATATATATATATATATATATATATATATATATATATATATAAATATATAGTACTATTAAACGTATAGGTGGCAACATTACTCCTTCAGAAACATATTGCTGGCAACATCATTTTCCCAAAAACGTATAGCTGGCAACATTATTTTTTCAAAAACGTATAGCTGGCAACATTACCTTTCCAAAAACGTATAGCTGGCAACATTACCTTTCCAAAAACGTATAGCTGGCAACATTATCTTTCCAATAACGTATAGCTGGCAACATTATCTTTCCAAAAACGTATAGCTGGCAACTGTGGCACCATTTACCGAGGCAGAAAAAGAAAAGAAAGAAAAGAAGGCAAAAGAGAGGCGAGACCCAAAACGTGGATGATAAGCAGAACACCACGGCTAAGAGACAATGGATAAAGGATATTTTGATAAGTAACAAATGGCGAAAGAGTGTCATTACAATGACAGGGAAATTCTGAGTGGATAAAGGAATCGGGTGTGTTTTGGCGACGGCTGTGTTATCTGGGATGCGTAAACAAACTGCTGGCCAAAGAAAAATCCAAATGAAAATGTTATTTCGATAAGTGACGAAAAACAGGTGGACTAAAGGGCTTTGGATAGATATGAAAAATTAATTGTGTCAAAAGCCACACACGATGTGTCCACTGACCGATTTCTTTCGACGGAACATCTTTAGCCTGCGATAATAAAATTATGTTATCAGAAATATGTACCGAAAGGAAATGAATAGGAATTCAGGGCGACGTCTGGCCGTGTTAAAAAGACCACCCATTCTGATAATTAGCGATAAGATGACCGACGAAGCCCAGGTGTAGAACAAGAGTTATGACCACCGTCGTTCGTATTGTCCTGTTTGCGGCTAGAGAAAATGATAACTGCGATTAAGAGGAAGAAAAGGAAAAGAAAAGATAATTTTTTTTTAGTTAAGCAAGATATTTTTTTTCCTGAAACAAAGCCGCGGATTCGTCCACGCCCGACTAAGACATCATTGGTCGAGTGGTGATCACGTGACGCACGAAGGAGGCTGTCGCCGCCCATCCAGAGGATAGGTATGAGAAGCTGCTACGAAGAAGTGGGGAGGGCAGCTCACGCCCCTCTGAAGTATGGTGAGAAGGTGGGAGTAAGAAAAGGCTCCCAAAAATGGAAAAGAGTGGAAAATTCCTAACCAGAAATAAAAGAGGTGGATATGTATTTAGAATTATCGAGGAACCCCCGACGCCGACAAACCCACCCCGGTTTTGATCGGTGTCCATATAAGCGAAGCCGCAGCGAGCAGAAATCAGTTCAGTTCAGCAGAGTGGAGTTGCAGCAGAGAGTTCGAAGATCGCAGTGGAAGTTGGTTCCGCCTCACAGATAGCTGACTTGAAAGATTCACGCACATTCTGGACTCCTCTTCAATCCAAGAACAATTATTTTGAAGAGCGACTTAGATCCAGACCACCAAAATAAGTTTTTTTTTTCGACTTTCGTCCGAAGACACACCGAAAAACCAATTTCTTAAAGAGCAAACAACTTGAAGCATTAAAACTCGCCTAACGGAAAACAACGTGTCACAATCCATAGAACGGGTCGGGAGATAGACGCAGTCCTATGTATCGAACAACTCGACATAAAGTTTGTTATCTTTTTCTTTGATACCTTGAACTTTTGAGTTTTCATTTTATTTTCTTTTATGCATATTTGTGTGTTGTCACCCCCGTTGAACCCGATTTGCATTACGGCCCCAACTACTGATTGATCTCATCTGCCTAAGATCAATTCACAACGTGGGTAGGCAGATTGGAGATCAATGCAGTTACTTTGGTAACCAGGCGTTGGAAGCGAGTTGGGAACGACGAGGCTGATATCAAATCTAACCAGATTCCCACCCGAATCACCAAAAGGTTACAACATCACATTTGGGTGCCGCGACCGATACCAAGCCAGTTGGTCGTCACAGGACGAGACAACACGACTGACGCGACAGGCGGACGTCACGTTTGGAGCGGCGACACCCGAACGGAGCAGCGAGGAGCGAACAGCTGGCGCCGCGGCGAGGACATCACAGTTGGTGCCGTGGTAGACCAGGATAGGACGTCACAGTTGGCGCTGCGACCAGGGGACGACGTCACAAACATTATCTTTCCAAAAACGTATAGCTGGCAACATTATCTTTCCAAAAACGTATAGCTGGCAACATTACCTTTCCAAAAACGTATAGTTGGCAATATTATTTTTCAGAAAACATTATCTGAGGCCTTGCTGTTGGACGTAGTTTATCGTCATACCAGGACGCGGATGTAGTTTATCGCCATACCCACGACGTGTGGGCGTCCAGATGGCAAACAATCTAATTGAAATTCCGTGTTAATACCATGGTTACATTTCAAGATGTCTGCTTTCCGCGTTGTCTTTCTGTAATTTTATCATTTTAGGTTTCCAGAAGACATTCTACTAGTTTCCAGACAACATTCTCCCAGTTTCCAGACAACATTCTCCCAGTTTCTAGATATCATTCTCCCAGTTCTCTTCTTTTACACCATGAATTAATGAAACCACTATATTCCTCTTTCTTTTTCTTGACACATTCTCCAGGCCTATACATTATTCAGATTATTCTTGATTATTTCACGAATTATTCAGATTATAAACTCTATTTGGACAGAATCTCTGTTAAAAAAAGGAAACACTCCATATGTTAAAAGAATCCTAGAAATTAACGATAATAAATCATGCTCTAATTCCTAACAATATTAAGAAGGCCAGAGAGTACATCAGCTGTGATCAAAATAAAAATACGAAGATATCAGATTGCATAATTCACGAAATAATGACCATAATTCATCTCAGAACTTCTATCGACATTCTCGTAGTGATTCCCTTATAGGATGAGAGGAACCGCTCAGAGACATCGTCGTGATGAAATAAGGATTCCCTGATGAAAC